CCCTCAGTAACTTTTTATCATCCACAAATGTCATCAGTTCATTATTAACTCCTTTTTCCAGATCACTCAGAAATACACTGCACAGCATCGGTCCCATTCTGGGATATTTGGGACACCTCAGAAATTTCAGCAATCATCTTCCTTCAAGAAAAGACAATTTTTCCTTCATTTTGTTTCTTACCTTCTAACCAGTAACTAATTCGTGGGATGACTTTTCCCCTTCTCACATGCTAGCCTAGTTTCTTTCAGAACGTTTGCCCAATCTATCGACAGCACTCCCGTAGCACCCAATTAACTCTTGGCCCTTGCTCAGGTGGGATTCCTGCTCAGAAAAAAAAAAATGTTCCCATTTGCTTTGGCCACACGATGGCTTTACATCTAACCCCACCAGAATTTACACCCTCTTCTATTTTCCTTCTTCAGATTTCACTTCTACAATTTAAAGACTATGTTTTTAACTCCTGAGAATCTCATTCACTCTTGTTTAGCAATGCTAGCTTTTTTCCTGGTGTGGGAGTAGAGGGACACCCTTTTAAAAATTGATGTAGATTCACTCTGAGACCTCACTGCACATATAAACATTCTGCAACACTCCATGATATCTTCTAGCATTTTCGCCTCCAGCTGCTCCTTTTACTTTACTCTTCTTTTTCTTGCTTGCTTCCTAATGCTTACAATTTGCCCCTTTAAAACCAGAAAACATTGCAGTGGGTTTTCTGAATGGCATCTCTTTGGTAAACCAGAACTGTTCTTTCTTCCCTGGGAAGACCAGAACCTGCACCACCACATTTCCCATTCATACTCAGCCCCTGGAAGTTACGATAATTGCAGTGCAAAATCTTGTTATTGAAGAAGACTTAAAAACATAATGCATGTTAATGGTGAAGATATCTGTACAAAACTGAGAACAGAATAAAACCATAAAGCATGAGCCTAAATACACACAGCTCAAATGCACCATCACTGATCTGACCCACAGAGCATAACACTACACAATTAGCAGAGAAAAATCAGCATTAGTTTTAAGAAAAACAAACAAACAACAACCCAATCACATTAGGAGTTATCCCTTACCATGTAGTAGAAACAAAAACTATGAAGTTTTTTTTAAAAAACTGGGTAGTGAAATGAATCACATTTGACCTATTGAGCCCTTGTCCTACATTTCCTGAAGCATCTTAATGAAAAAAAATAAAGAAATACTATGCTATGCAATTCCCTCTTTATTTTCTATCATACACTATTTCCTGTGAATAAGGAAAAACCTATTTCCTTTCATATATATTTATATACTAAGGTATTACTACCAATTTACTCATTTTTGAACAAAAGTGTTTTGGTAAATAAAATAACTCCTTGAAGTATTACGCAATCTAAGTTTTAAAAGTTTGTGCCATTGACTTCAAAGGCCAGACTGTAAGCTTTTCTACACACATTAGTTTTAGACAGAAACATGCGCATCAAATATGATAAGAGTAAGTGACTTCATGTGCTAAAGGTTTTTATCTTTCTTTTCTGTTTCTTTTCACTGAATGAAAGAATCATAGAATCATAGAATCATAGAATGGTTTGGGTTGGAAGGGACCTTAAAGATCATCTAGTTCCAACCCCCCTGCCATGGGCAGGGACACCTTGCACTAGACCAGGTTGCTCAAAGCCTCATCCAGCCTGGCCTTGAACACTTCCAGGGATGGGGCATCCACAACATCTCTGGGCAACCTGTTCCAGTGCCTCACCCCCCTCTCTGGGAAGAATTTCTTCCTGATATCTAATCTAAACCTCCCTGATTTCAATTTATACCCATTAAAAAAAGAGATATAGCTCAAATCCTTGAGTTGTCAGGAATAATAGTACTGTCAAGTCCACATAGGTGAGGAACAGGGATTTAATTCATTTTCCTCATCAGCTAAATTCAGCTTCACAAGTTTGCATCTATTAGTTACCAGAGTATTGCCTTGATTCGCGGACTTTAAGCAGATTTCAGTATTGCCTTTAAAATAAGAAAGGAAAAGTTTTGTGAGGAGAGATGTTTGATAGGGAAACAATTAAAGAAAATCAGTAGACCTGGAGAACTGGTATGAAGTCATCCCTCCAGAGCCTTTCTATGGAGTACTGCTTAACTTGGTTTAAATTGGTTTCAGTCAGGATTTAAACACATGGAGTCAGAAGACTAACTGAGGCAAAACTCGACTAGCTCCAGAAACAGTCTTATGGATCAAGTAATAAAGTGGAAAAAGAGAAAAAGTAAAGATGAATTACTTATACTTTTGGCAGTTTTGAGGAGAGTTTTGGGTTTTTTTTTACATAAAACAACCAAAAGCTGCTTGAAAGCAAATTTTAAAAACCTGCAAGTGCTTTTAAGTGTTTTAAGACTGTCCAGATTTTTCTAAGTTCTGCTGTTTAAATAATTTTGGCCAAATTTTGTGGAGAAATTTCTGCATTTAGCTGTGAATAAACAGCACTGAATTCTTGATTAAGTTAGTACCTCCAGCTCAATACCTTCTTTTAGCTAGCCCCCCCTGCTTTTTCCAAAATTAGCATACTAGTTGGGATCTGAAATATCACTTGAGGAACACAGCAATAGAAACAAGACAAATTTTACCCAAATTTTAGAGAAATTAGAAGAATTATACCAGAATTAACTTGACTCAACCTACACAGAGGTAGCACACGTCCCATTCAGTAGGGTTTGTCATATTGCCAGTACAATGTAACATACTCTCTGCTTTCTTCAGATTCACGTGTACTTACCCCCACTGCTTTTGGCTCTGGCAGGAGGGCACGCAGAGCGCAGGGGGCAGCATTTTGGTGGTGCTGGAAAGTTCAGCGAGATAGAGCTTGAAAAAAGGAAGGTATAAAATGCAAACTAAGCAGGATGTGTAATCATCAGCCTCCTCTCCTTCGGAAATAAAATTTTTACTTAGGTGGAAAGGGAAGGAGGCAGAAATATCAGAGACCAGATATTTTTTGGACAGACTGTGCCTTTTACACAGGTTAACATTCTCTGAATATGCCAAAAACTGTTCATCAAGATAAAACAATGTAAATAGCTAAGTCAGTCACAAGAACAGCTACCCAGGCAGTATTCAACCCACAAAGACGACATAAAAAGCAGACTCTATGCACATTTTAAAAAACTAAGTGGTTTTTTCCCTGTTCTCTTACCTGCTTCTGAATATATTTCAAATGTTCTTTTAACAAAGTTCTGAAAGAAATAAGATAAAAACACCTTGTGTCCTCCAAAACATAAAAGAATGTACTTGCAACAGAAATAACAGATAATCTAATGGGAGAGATGACTGCGGTTTTCTTAACTTTTTTCAGGCTGTCTTTTAACACTTGCTTTTGAAAAGCAGCATTTTACCCATTTTTTTAATCCACACTTCTGCAATCATATTCCAGTGTCAGACAGACTGGATCTGCAGGAACCCAGAGACAAATATAATTTTATTATGGTAATAAAGGACAAGAGGAATACATTCTTGTGAATTTGTTCACAAGAAAACTTTATCTACGAAAAGAGAAAACCATCAAGTTTTTAAAGACAGCAGAACTTTAAAATAGCCATTTCCTATTCAAGGTTGAGTATAACTGCATGGGCTTTATATTTTCCTAAGCATTTATCCATAAAATCATACAAAAATATTTTCTAACAAACAACAGAATATTCTCTGGGCAGAGAATGGATCGAGAGCAGCCCTGAGGAGAAGGACTTGGGGGTACTGGTGGATAAAAAGCTGGACATGAGCCGGCAGTGTGCGCTGGCAGCCCAGAAAGCCAACCATATCCTGGGCTGTATCCAGAGAAGTGTGGCCAGCAGGTCGAGGGAGGGGATTCTCCCCCTCTACTCTGCTCTCCTGAGACCCCACCTGGAGTGCTGTGTCCAGCTGTGGAGTCCTCAACATCAGCAGGATATAGTCTGGTTGGAGCGAGTCCAGAGGAGGCCACAAAGATGCTCCGAGGGCTGGAGCCCCTCTGCTATGGGGACAGGCTGAGAGAGTTGGGCTTGTTCAGCCTGGAGAAGAGAAGGCTCCAGGGAGACCTTATAGCACCTTCCAGTCCCTGAAGGGGCCTACGAGGAAGCTGGGGGGGACTTTTTAAAGGGGCCTGTAGCGATAGGACAAGGGGGAACGGGTTTAAATTGAAGGCAGGGAGTTTTATGAGGAAGTTCTTCACAGAGATAGTGGTGAGGCACTGGCACAGGTTGCCCAGAGAAGCTGTGGATGCCCCATCCCTGGAAGTTTTCAAGGCCAGGCTGGATGAGGCTTTGAGCAACCTGGTCTAGTGGAAGGTGTTCCTGCCCATGGCAGGGGGGTTGGAACTAGGTGGTCTTTAAGGTCCCTTCCAACACAAACCATTCTAGGATTCTATGCAGAGCCTATATATTCGCTTACTTCATTCAGCTTGTTAAAAAAGTCTGCACCTTGAAAAATAAAGCTACTTTTAGTTATGAACCAGTATGCAGATGAAAAAGACTAATTTTATGTAATGTTTTCATTTTTTTCTCCATTATTAGTGGTACTGTAGTTTGAACAGCACCCTGTTTGATCTTGCCTTCTAACTGCCCTCGCCCATGCTGGGGACTCCTGCCTGAAGCTCATGGGAATCTGTAACTGGGTGTAAGATGAAAACCCACCCTGTTTCCCCACTTACCTCTCTTCAATGTCCTGCAATGCAGCTCCTGCATGTAGTCTCCTCCCGTGCTTCCGAAACGCCCTCCAGGTCTTACCCAAACTTTGGTCTCTTACACTTGGAGTCAGGGCACTCTGCCCTCCCCACACTGCACCCCTCTCCCGTCACAACGAGCAGCCCCAAAAATGGGCTACTATCCACCAGCTCTTCACCTTGTACCCCAGGGGGAGAAGTGCCCTTTGGGGACCCTCCATTCCCAGACCTCTCACATTCCACTTGGTCATTGCTCCTCTCTTCTGCCTCGCGAGCACTGATCAAACCAAGTGTGCTCTGGCACTGGACCGGTTTCTGATCAATAAATTACTCTGTTTTACATGGTTCAAATTTAAGCTTTTATTTGGTTTTTAAACTAAAAAAATAAATTTCATTATTAAATAGTGGAATGGGTCTAAACTAATGTTTACATATTAATTCACTTGCTTTAGGATACCACCAGAGAAATAATTAAAGTATACCACCCAGACAAAACTTTCTGCTAGAAAGCTCAACAGTGGCGTAATTCAGTTAAACAGGAAAAAAAACCCCAAAAGTCTTAATGTTTACAATGAATGTTAGAAGTAAACCTCTGGTTTTAGTGTCATCCAAACCTAGTTTCCACCACAAAGGCAGTCATTGTATTCAGAATACTATACCACAGTGCTAATGTCATCAGCTTCGTCGGGTTTCTTTTGCCTGCTTGGCAGGGATTTCAAGTACTCAAGGTGCCTCCTTGCATCCTCCTGATTTTGCCGGACGTAATAAACCACATACGAGATCACCATGGTGAACCAGCCAAACATGGTGACCAGCATGGCATAATCGGTAGTCTTTTTAGGCAGGTTGCAGAGGTCAGCATCGTTGGCAGTGTTAAGAAATGGTGTCCCCGCGTGCTCATCCAGCACAGAAGTCTTGCAGATGACGTTGTTGGCCGTCTCGTGGTTGGAGGCCATGCTCCTCAACACCTGCTGCAGTGTGCAGTCACAGTGCCAGGGATTGTTTGCAATTCTGGCTCTGGCCTTCAGGTTGTTGAAAGCGTTTTTGTGCACGCTTTGGATCCGGTTGTCAGACAAATCCAGAGTCTGCAAGGTTTCTGCCACCCCTTTAAAGGCATGTTCATCTATAAACTCAATCCCGTTTTTTGATAAATTGAGGACTCTCAGTTGGTGCAGGTCCTTAAAAATTTCATTGGGGATAGATGTTATCTGATTGGAGTCCAAATAAAGTAAGACTGTTTCTGGAGGAAGATCTCTGGGTATTTCCTTGAGGTTTGCATTGCTACAGCTGACGTTCAGACCTCCGGAGTGAGAACAGAGACAGCCTTTCGGGCACATACTGGCAGAATGAAAGCACAGTATCATGAGGACAAAACTTTGTAAGAGCAGACACATGGAGAGGGAACGAGTTAACCACAGGTCTACCAAATGCATGCTGGGGTGTCAGCATAATCACATGACCATTTCTCATTCAGCCAACAGTGGAACAGAATGGAACGGCAAAGCTGAAACGTGGCTTCATTTTCTTCGGTGGGATTAGTAAAAACTGACTAACATGTGGGCTTCCTCATGGTCAATACTCTTCTTAGAGGCACACCTACAGAGAAGAAGGAAAACAAGTTCCTTATACCATAAACTTCAATCCCAATTTTGTTTTCATAAAAAAAAAAAAAAAGAGAGAAATAAAAGAAGCCAACATGAAGTGCAACACTAAATAAATGACCCATTATCCCATCAGTGCATCAGAGGATTTATTTAGGTAACTCCTATTAGCATTAATCTGAGTTTAGTACATAAATCCCCAGAAGGGATAGACCACACTTACTACAAATTACACAGGTTTGGGCTTTAATACTTATTACAGAAGGCATTGGTTTGTTTTTTATCACAGACTTTTCTAAACCAGCTATAAAACTAAATTACATTTTCCCTTGGTAAAGTAGAAGATGCATTAATAGGAGCTAACAGTGGGATCTCCAGCAACAGTGGCAGGTAAGCTAGGAATTTGTGGTGTTTAATGTGAACTTTATATCTCAAAGTGATTTATGTTACTTGAAGTCCAAATCTTAGTACTTCAGCAAGGAAATATTTTTACTATATCAAGAAACAAAAATTAAGTAGTCCAAATGCTGCTGTGAGATACCACAAACACGCACCATCGCCTTGTTTGTCTCCCTCTCCTTCTCTTCTGCTTCTGACCGCTGAATTTCCTGTACCTCCCAGCATTTTGTGAGACATCGCTGAGACCCACAGAAATAATTTCTACCTCCAGTTTTCTTAAAAATTTTCATTCCATTTAACATAGAGAAAAAAAAAGAAAGGTCACAGTTCCCAAAACCTCATCCCCTCCCCTCCATCACCCAAATAAAACTCACACAAACCTATGTATAAGCCAAATGAAAAAAAATACTACTCATGGCATAGAATTTGCTAATAGAACATATGAAAAATATTTTATCTGCTTTTCCTCTTAAGTTGGCTTAAAAATAGTACATATCCAGAAGCTTTTCCATTTTCTCCTTTAATTGGAGCACAAATACAGAAGTCTGAAATGCTGACCTATAAGGTTTCAAAGACAAGCTCATTTATTTTTTCCCCTATTATGGTAAACTAAGAATTTTCTAACCACAATGCATCCATTTGTTTTCATGTACATGCCCTCGTCTTTGTAGCAGCTCAGATATTTGCAGCCTTCGGGTTGTATTTACATATAAATGAATTTCTTTTTTTCTGAACCCACACTGTAGTCCACTGAACAACAAAATCCTTGCAGGGAGGGTATGTGTGCATTTTACAGGAAAAAGAAGAAATTTTGCCTGCAGAACTCACATACTAACTGCAGTGTCTGGCACATCACAGTAATATGGATCAGATACGTCATGCAGTATTTCAAACCCATTATAAACCCAAATATTCTGCTCTAAAAGGAAAGGAAATTGTTAGCAATGAGAAACTGAAGTTAAGGAGGGAAGTAAGCAGAGCAGGAAAAGCTCCCTATAAGGCACTAGAGGTGAGGCAGCACTTCCACAGTCAACAGAGCATCCTGCAGGACCTCTGTGGAAGAAACAGGGTTTAGGTGAAAGAAGCCCCTTGCCCTGGGCGCATGCTTGCCACTTCTCCCTGTGGCTCTTCGGTCACTGCAGTGCTTCGCCTTCCGATCACACAGACATCTGCTACAGAAGGAGAGGAGTTCCACGAGTTGTTTTTTCCCAGCCTGCCCAAAAGTGCTAACTACTTGCCAAAACGTGCAGCCCATTCAGAGGCCAAGCCAGAGCTGGCAACTGTTCACCCTGGAAGGTCCAAGCTGGCAACCTTCTCCTTCCTCCCGCGGACCTGGGTGCTGCTGCAAGGCCTGTCTCCTGGAAAAACAGCCACCTACTTCCTTTTCCCTTCACATTTACGTGCATCACTACTGTGCTGCACTGAAGCGGCAGATGAGTGGTGTGGCTCATCACCACAGAATAAGCATCTCATCACTGACTACATCTATACAGTGGCTGGAGTCCTGCCAAAGGAACGGACCGGGGTGAAACAGCAAAGAGCTGAAGTCGATGTTAGCTTTGTAGAATCATAAAAATCACATTGTTCTCACCAGAGTGTGATGATTAAATACCATATTCCCTATTTTACAGGCAAAAAAAAACCCCTGCCAACCTGGAATTACACCATGAATCCTGCTGAGTCCTCCACGGCGCAGCTATGCCACCAAAGATCGTGCGTCACATAGGTCCCACATACCAAAACCAATGCGGAACATCTTCGTCCTACTGGAGACAGATGAAGCTCTTTGTTTCAGTGTATTAATGTGTTTAGAGTGGAAGAAGTAGGACTTACAGACTAAGCAGGAAAGTGTTTAATGAAGCAATGTCTCTTAAAAAGAGATAACTAAGTAAATGGATAAAGAGGGAGAAAAACAACTGATGTTTTAAGTCGTTAGAAAGAGCAAATACAACTTTAAACCTATAATTAACAACCCAGTCAACAAAACTTAGCTGAGCAAGAACAAAGCTCAGCAAATTCTCAGTGAATTAACTGGAAGCAACCCAATGGGACTGAGCATCAGTCAGGGGAAATGGAGCTTTGTTTACTTCCATAATCAAACTATCTGATCCAAGGGATATCTGAGGTTTAAGTTTCACCAACAAACTTACAGCAAGGACTTTCTTGACTCACAGGCCTCCTAATGACTGCAAGAAGGAAAAAACAGAACTAGGAGCTGCACATTCATAATGCCAAAAGGAAGATTTTTGGCTTCTTGAGCATCTATCTAATTTTCTCTGTTTAGAACACAATAAATAAAGAAGAAAGTAACAAAGTTAGAATAAAAACAGGAGATACACACCAAACAGAAACACTAAAAACTACAGAGAAAGGGATGGAAGACACAGAATTAAAACAAACAAATGAATTAATTAGAAATCTGCAAATAAAGGAAAAACATAAGAAAAATAAATGAAAAAGTAAATGAAGGCACAGGGAAATGTCAGCAATACTGCAAGCACACAGAGCACCACGGTATAAGACATTCTGCATATGTTTCTAAAGTACAAGTACAAGCATAGAAAACCTAACATACAATTCAGACATTGCAGAGCAATAAAACTACAGAGGGAAGATCACACAAAATAATTCTTTACAGTCTTGCAATTTAAACTGTTTTTTCAAGCTTTCTTCTTCCCATGCTCCCCCAAGGCCATTCACTCAGTACAGGAAAAAGTACAAATCCTGAAATCCTCAAGGAAAGCAAATTTGCTTTTAATACACAGTGAAGCTTCTACTGAGCTTCAGGTGTCAGGTACCTGCAGATGTCTGCCCTTCTAGCAAGCAATGTGCAGAAACTGTATCTTAGCACCTGAATGCAATATTACTACATTAAGTATTTGATTAATAACTCCTCCCCATAAGAAATGAGATACGTAAAGAAGCATTAGTTCCTCCAACCACCCACCTGGAAAAAAGGACCTGTAGACTTGTCCAAGTAACACAGAAAGTCCCTGACAAAACTACTTTCAATATTAACATGCTGTTGTGTTCTCACAACAAGAAACAGGAGTACAGGTAATTGTATAGCCAGCATACAGAACAGCATAAAAGTGTCACTGTGAGACAGACTGAGAGTTCTTGTTGTTTAGGACAATTCTAAGATAACAAAAGATGCATAAAAAAAGAACCGATCATATATATAAAAATTTCTGATTTAACAGACCTGACAAAGAGAAGGGCAAGGGGAAATAACAGTGATTTCTAGTATGGTACAGAGACTTTAAGAGTCCACATGGCAGATCTTCAGTTATTACCCAAGTGCTCACACGTGTGTGAGTAGTTTGCTTCTAGCCCTCTACATTGCTTATGCCCCTGTAAAAAAGTCAGAAGGGAGCAGCTTCCAGTCTCTTGCACTTGAAGGGCAGCCACTGCCAAGGACTCAAAAGCAGAGACCAAAATCAGTCTTAAGAGGTACTGTCCCTATAGCAGTCAAACACAGACACCTTTAACTGTCCAGATCACCTTGCATTTACACCAAGATGAAGTCAGCAGAGCCCCTTGATGATGACACTCTCCCTGGAAATTTTTTTCTTCCAAATGAGAGACTCACTCCCTGACTGTTCATCAGATGCCTTCTCCATACACTGTGTAGCTAGATCTCAGTAGGGTGCTTCTAAGATTACTCTCTAGCACTACAAAAATCAGCTGTAACAGCCAAATACATTTGTTCAAGTTGCTCCAATATCACAATGCTTTTACTTTTAATTACACCCAAATTCTCAGACACTTTCAGGTGAATTCCTAAGTATTTCTGTTGAGGAGAGATCAAAACTGTCACCCTTTTCCTGATGGTTATTCATCAAGCAAGATCTCACATGATAAAGACAAGACCATGACCCAATGTATTGAATAAGAATGTCTTAATGTGATGATTTCTGTCCTGAATAACAGTAATGAGGGCCACAAATAAAGTCTGTAGAATAGTATCACACAGATCCATGACAACCTAAGAATTCCAGACTCACACACAGCATCATCACTTGTCTTGCTTGTGGTCAAACACTGATGGGAAGAATCGGCAGCAGCTCTCTGCAGTCAGTACCACAGTGGCCTTCTCTGGATAACAGATCGCAAGGTCTCTTCAATGATAAGAGACAGGGGAGGATTTTTAATTTTTGTGGCTGTTGTTATCATTCACAAACAAGCAGAAATAGGAAATTGAAGAAAGATATGATCCTAAAAAACATTTGATTCCCTAAGCCAACCAGTATAGGTACTGGACAGAATGTGCTCTTCTAGCAGTAACAACTGGATAAATATTGCTGGTGTATGGGAAGATGCTTTTTCTTTGGGATGTGATGTCATGGGATGCTAAGAAAAAAGAGAGAAGCTGCAGCTGAAGCATGGTCTGCTTCTGAGCACAGGAGGCATGCTTCTTCCCATCATGTCCCTGTCCTTACCCACTATGCAGTGTTCCCTCTTTTCCCTTTTCCCACAGGGGCTGATGGGCTGATAAGGCCAGTCAGCTGCATCTGCCCCCTTGAAGCCCAGCTCCAAGAACTGGAGAGTGCAGCACTGTCCATGGGCAGAGTACTGTCCCAGCTGTACAA